CACACACACACACACACACAGAGCAAGCTCATTCCATTTAGAGTAGAGGGACAATTGTAAATCGTTCAGTAGCCAAACAAGAGCTTGGCTTCAAATGCTGCATCTTTCAAAATATCTGAACAATTACAAAGAAATAAAGGAAATCTTCTACATCTGCTAAAAGCAAACACAGAATTGGCATGCATGACTGTTACCTAAATTTAGTTGTCTTTACCATTATGGGTTATGATTACAGACAAAAAGCAGTAATATGAACCTGTAACTCAAAGACTGAGAACTATTTCTAAGGATTAGTCCTTAATAAAGACAAATCCTTTCTAATGTTAAAGACAAGTGAAAGGATTCTGTGTCTTCAGTATGAAATATTAGGATTATAGATAAAAACTGTTGCTTACAATGTCATAACATTTCATTTAAAATATAATGAGAATGTCTGGTCCACATTGAAATTATTTATGTAAGCATAACTGTTAAAAAGCTATCAAAAGACTGATTCTATTGAATTGGCCTCTGCTGTTCACTTTGTTTCTACTGGAGGTTTCTGTTTGGCAGTGAGAGCATGATTTCTAAACTACATTATTTTTCTGTATTTTTTTTTGGTAAATTTTCTGCATGTGTTTTTTAGACAAAGGAAAAATCACCAGTTTATAAAAAAGGAGCCTGAAGAGTTTGCTCCTGAAATACAGACATGAGTTTATATAAAAAGGATACTGGTTTCTTGCTATAAAAAGCGACTGAAAGGTGTCAGACCTGAAAACAAATTCTCACAGTGTTTTCAGTATTGGCTGTTTACAAGGCATTCAATAGAACAGAGATAGATGGATACCATTCAGTTCATGCAATAATTTAGTATGTTAGTCTTCTAGAGGGATCAGGTGTATGACATCCTTTACCTCAAATTCATCATTTGCTTATTGATTGCAAAATTGCCCTATCAGAGAGGTTGACCAGGAATTCACTGTGCTTTACAAACTCTACTGAAATATCTGAATTTCCCAATTTGGCCTCATCTCTTTTAGCTAACCCTGCACCACCGTTCTAAGCATCTGATGTCACAATCATAAATTGCTGGTGTTTCTCCCCTTTGACAGTCAGAGTTGGTGTTAGATGACAAATTGGGGCCCAATCAGGAGTGAAGAGCAAGGTTGGGGAGCTACCATGTCATTCTCCTGGGATCCTCCAGCATTCTTAAGTTCCAAAGACAAGGGGCACTTGTGTTTGTCACTCTTGGATCTGGCAATGTTTTTTTTTTCTCCATACAAATATTATAAATTCTATTCAGATAAACATCCCTCTACAGAAGGAAGGCTGTAGTGTGTGAGCAAAGTAAGACAATGAAGGTGTCTAATCATTCAGTAGAAAAGTTATGGACTAGCACATTTTGCATCCCTGGAAAGATACCACAAAGGATGGTTATCAATCTATCTCTTATAATTGGTAACTGTGGATCAGTGGCCCAGAGGAGAAATCACAGGAAAATAAACCCAACATACTACAGTGTGTTTTGAAAATTAACAACGACAACAACAATAACAACAAATAAAATTTTGAAAGCACCAATAGCCCTGTTGGACACTTGAGCAAAAGTATCCTACTGTCACGGTAGGCTTGGGTTTACACCCTGGACAGAATACTCTCCCCCTTCACATGGAATCACCAAGTGAGTCCGAATCATCCAAGGACAGAGGCAGGTACAGATCCTATAAGAAGAGAAGGAACAAAGTTAACTTTCCTTTTCTTGACAGTTTGAGTTCTGAAAAAAGCTGTTTTAGGTTTTTTATTAGTATTTTTTGTTTTGAAATAATTATGGATTCATAAGAAGTTGAAACACATATAGGGAGACACTCAGATAGTAATATAACCTTCACTCAATTTCTCCCAAAGCTAACATCTTGCAATTTTTCATGAATTCATTTGTGTGTGTACATATGTATGTATATGTTTGTGCACTTCTGTGCAATATTATCATGTGCACATTTTTTCAATTAAGTTTATTGGTACATTTTAAGTACAGAATACAGTTCCATTTATCATTCAGATCTTGTACCTTTACATGATGTATCTTAGCTCTTATCTTTTCCCCATTCCCCTGACCTTCCTTCACCCCTCTACCTTTCCCTATTTACAGACTTTTTTTCCATTTCTCGTATTTTTTATTTTCCCTTCTTTCCTTTCCCCTACCCCTCCCACTTCCTCTACTCCTTTAGACGTTTTCTTCCTATTGCACAATATCAATTTTACATTTTGATCCTTATTTACACTTTTAGTTTTTCTCACCAGAAAAACTATTCAGTATTTACATGTGTATTCTATTTATTTCACTTAAGAGTATGGCCTCGATGTGCACCCACTTAGCTATAAATGTCTCCAGTTTCTTGTTCTTTTTCGCTGAGTAGTACACCATTTTATTTTTTAAAATCCCACATCTTCTTTATCCAGTCTCCAGTTGATGGGCAATTGGGCTGTTTCCAAGTTTTAGCTATTACAAACTGTGCTGCTATAAATATGGGTGCGCATATATCCCTGTGGTAGGATTCTTTTAATTCTTTTGGGAAGATACCCAGTAGATGAATAGCTGGGTCAAATGGGACTGCTAATCCTAGTTCTTTGAGGTATCTCCATATTGATTTCCACAGTGGTTGCACCAGTCTGCACTCCCACCAACTATGGAGAAGGGTTCCTTTCTCCTCACATCCCCACCAGCCAGCATTTGTTATTGGTTGATTTCTTGATCGCAGCCATCCTTTCTGGAGTGAGATGAAATCTCAGTGCTGTTTTCATCTGCATCTCTCAAATGACCAGTGATGTGGAATGCTTTGTCATATATTTATTTGCTGTTTTTACTTCTTTGTCTGAGAAATGTCTGTTCATTTCAGATACCCAGTTTTTAATTGGGTCTTTTTATATTGGGGGGTCTGATTTTTCTTGTTCTTCATATATTTTATGTAGCAGACCTATGTCCGAGGAACAACTAGTAAACTTTTATTCCCACGTGGTAAGTTGTCTTTTAGCTTTGTTGGTGGTTTCTCTTGCAGTGCAGAAGCTTTTTAATAAGATGAGATTCCAGTTGTTGATTCTTTGTGCTAGTTCCCATGCTACAGAGGGTTTGTTCATGAAGTCTTTTCCTATGCCAATGTCTTCGAGAGTTCTACCTAATTTATCTTCCGGAAAATTCAGTGTTTCTGTTTTAATATTTAGATATTTAATGCACTTCAATTTTAGTTTATTGCATCACATGCACATTTGCATGCCCATCACCAAGTCAAAATATAAAGCTGTACCTTTAACCACAGGGCTCCCTTGGTGATAACTACAACCATCCCTCCCCCATGTCAAAGCCCTGGCAAAAAATAATGTTTCCAATCTCTATAATTTTGGCATTTCAAGAATATTCTATAAATGGAATCTTGCAATGGGTAACCTTTTGAGGTTGGCCTTTTTTATTCAGCACAATTCCCTGAAGATTAGTCCAAGTTGCTGCATGTGTCAACAGTTTGCTCTTTTGTATTTGCTGAGTGGCTGTACCACAGCTTGCTTGACCATTTACCTATTGAACTATACGTGGAATACTTCCTATTCTGGGCTATTACAAATCAAACTGTTATAAATATCCACATACGGGTTGTTGTGTGAATTAAAATATTCATTTCTTCTGGGATAAATGATCAAGAGTACAATTACTGAGTCATATGATAATTTAGTCTTTTTTTCCTCGTTGAGTTTATTGGTACATTTTAGGTATACAGTACAGTTACATTCATTATTGGGATCTTGTACCTTTACATGACAGGTCTTGGTTCGAATTTTTTTCCCCTTGTCCCTGCCCTCCCTTCACCCCTCCTTCCCTCCCCCTTTACAAATACTTCATTTCCATTTTTTCATTTTCTCGTATTTTCCCCTTATTAGCTTTCCCCTACCCTTCCCACCTTCTCTGGTGTGAAAGGGGCTAAAGGTGTAGGCATATGAAAATTTAGTTTTTGTTTTTTGATGGTAGGGATTGAATCTACGTTGTTTTACATGGATATTTAGTTTTGTTGAAACTGTAATATTATTTCCCAGTATAGCTGTACCATTTCCATTCTCACTAGCAAAATATTAGTGATTTAGTTCTTCTACATCCTCACCAGTCTTTGGTGCTTTCACTATCTTTTTACTACTATTGTGGATATGTATGATTTCTAATTATGGTTTTCATTTACATTTCTTTGGTGACTAATGACGTTAAAACATCTTTTCATGTACCTAAATGACATTTGTATTTCTTCTTCAGTGAAATAGTTCCTCATGTCTTTTGTTCTTTTCCTGATTATACTTTTTCTTTGCTGTTGAGTTTTAAGAATTATTTTTATAGTCCTAAAATGAATCTTTTGTTAGAAATGTGGGCTGCAAATATTTACTTCCAAGCCATAGAGCCTATCTTTTCATACCTTTTGTATGGTATTTGGCAAGGCATAAGATTTTTATTTTAGTGACATCCAATTTATTCACTTTCTTTTTAGTTAATTGTATTTCTGTGGGTACATTTTACAACTCTTTGCCCAGCAAAGGTTATAGAAATTTTCTCCTGTTTCTTTTCTAAATGTTTCACATTTAAGTAAAATCCACTTTTTAGTTAATTATTGGATACAATATGAGTTTTAAGTCAAGGTTTTCGTTTGCTTCTTTGTTTTACCTATGATATAAAAATGCTCAAACATCATTTAGTGAAAAGGCTTTCTTTCCCCCATTGACTGGCATTTATACCTTTGTCAGTCAATTGTGAATACATATGTGAATTCTTTTCTGGCTCTCAGAGAACTGCCACGTCCTCAGCACATGGTTAACTGAGAATATGTATTGTATCTAACCACTTCCAGCCTATTTCCTGAAATTTCAATTTCTCACAAGAAATGGAGATTTCTAGCTCCAGTATGGTCTCAATCCTTATCTCTTTCTCCAGGAGATGGAACAATATGACACCAGTTTTTCCCACTGATTACTGAGATTTATTTGAAAATCTTTGTGGTTCCTGGTAGACTTAACCCATGGTCTAAATAAATGATTCTCAAATCTCTCTCGCTCTTCCTCCTACTCATACTGTATCTCCTCTATTTAAGTCCTGTGTTCAAAGTAAATCTTTTTTTTTTTGGTGGGGAGGTTGAAGCAGGGTCTCCCTTTGTAGTTCAGGCCTGCCCTGACCTCACTATGCAGCCCACGTAGGCCTTGAACTCACAGCAATCCTCCTGCCTCAGCTTCCCAAGTGCTAGGATTTCAAGCATTCGCCACCATGTCCAGATTCAAATTAAATTTTGCTTGGCAGCCCACTTCATGAGAAAAATATAGTTGTTCTGATTGAACCAGAAGTGAAATAGCTGGAGTGTCACTTGTTCTACTTTTGTCCTCATGCCAAATGGGACACAATTTGAAAACAATTATGTTTATACATGTTATCAGCAAGATACCTAAGAGAAAAATTTATAATAAACTGTATGGATATTTAAGAGACTCCTCCCTTTAGTATAATGAAGATAAAAAAAGAATTTCAATAGTGGACTATTGAAGAATACATAGAACACAGCTTCTCCTTGAGATAAAGGAATAAGTGAAAGAAGAAAAGCAGGAAGTAAGACTTATCTAACGTTAGGAATGCTTTTTGCTGAGAAAGATAGGACTGAAAAACTTTTAGGCAATTTAGAATGGAAAGATGGCTAAAACTTATTCAGAAATCTGAGGATTCAGAACTGGCTAATTAGTACCATGACACCGAAAAAGACTTTCAGCCTTGTTTTTGTTGTTCCTCCCCACTCCGTAAAATGTAAACTTTAGATAGATAGTCTGTAAGGTCTCTTCCATCTCTGAGGCTATAATTTAGAGTTCTAAATGAAATTTTTAATGCTTAAAAATACAACACAGGTAACTGCAGCAAGTAGACTCATGTGTCACCACCATTCCATCATTCTTTCATTATAAATCAGAGTGTAGCATTTTTTTTCTGTAAAATGTTATTAAACATTTTTGGTTCTATTTCATGGTCATATATGGTCTCTGTCACATATTCTTTATTTGTTTGGGCTTTGTTTCTTTTACTATGCTTTAAAGATACAAAAAAAACCATTTTCATATCAGGGTGCTAGCTATACAAAAATACTCAGGACACAACAGGATTTCGCACCCTTGATCTGAACTGACAAACAAAAGCTAACTATATAATAAATGAACAGGTAGGAAGTATAGTAAGTCCCTGACTTACAAATATTTAGGCTGTGAACTTTCACAGATATGAATGGATCTTGCATTACAAATATTCACTGCTGCAAACAAATCATGGAAGTAGCTCCTGTGTCTGCCAGACACTGTCACAGTTGTGCTGCTCTGTGTTCACTGTACAGCGCAATAGTGTACAGTAGTACAGTGCTCAGTCAGAGCCCAGCATGTTCAGAAGAAAGAGAAACTCAGTGGTGCTGTGGAGGGGACTGTTAGGAAGCACAAATCAATACATATTGTATAGCTGTATCAAAGGTGTATAAGACTCACTTCATTGGACTTGCAAAAGAATCTGACTTACGAAAGTTCTTCCAGAATGACACTCATTGCTAAGATGGGAACTTACTGTACAGTACTAAGAAAACAAAAGAAGTGCAACAAATATTTGTAAAATTGAGTCTAGACCATGGAGTTACCTCTCTGAAGAAATTTTATTTTCAATTACTTGAGTAAATTG